TCTGAATGAAATAATAAAATGCGACTTATACGTGCCTTATGTTTTTCCCCCCTAAAAAACAATTTTTTTTTAATACGCGTAGCGTATTTTAACTATGCAGCAAACATTTTTAAATATTTTGATAAATTACTGAAAAAATAAATAATTAAATGACTTTTTAAACCATTTTACTGATTGTATTAATCAGTCAAAATTCTTACGGTCGGTTAACTGGTTAAACGGTTAAAATGGACATCCCTAATCTATACCTTTCACTTTTTAAGACTAAATCAAAAGATGGATTCATTGTTATTCTAAATTAAAAAGTACAACAACAATAAAACAGTAAGATACAATCACAAACAAGCTTACAAACATTTATTAACACAAACAAATAAGATGAGGCATTGCATACACCGCATGCTGTATTATATACCGACTAATAAAATACAGAACGTTTAGCAAACACTGAGGAATCAAATAAAAAATAAATAAAAGAGAGCCTCCATAGCGTAACGCGAGGTAAACAGCAAAGATAATGCAAATGAAAACAAAAAGAAAAGTAAAACTAAACTTGCTGTCGGTGACAGTGCTTGCATGTTTTTTTTCCCACAAGAATACCAACATGTTCACCTTTGGTTTAAGAAGCGGTCTTTTACTTTACTTTAGCTTGAAACCCATCCATCGTTTCCTCAATATTCGCGCTCGTGCTGACGCGGCGAGTATAAACCAGGCTCTACTCTCGAAGCGCTGCGCAGTTCAAACGACTAGCGCAGTTTCATTATGCTTTCAGTTTCGTTTGCCGTTTGATGTTTCACATATGCAACAGAATTGGCAGCGTTTATGAGTTAAACAACGCGGTGGTCGCGCCAGTGCGACCGCGCACAGCATTTAGTCTCACAGGCAGAAAAAATGGTCGCAGTCTGGAGCCCTGTACTTCATGTTGCCATGTTGCAGCCATTACCAATCCAGTGAAATGCCACAACTATTCATACCAAAAATAATAAAACACTAAATATTTAAATGATACAATTATATAAGTACTTAAAATAGTACTATATAATAATAACAACTATATGTAGTTGAGTAATTGTCAACTGAATACACCTTCAAAATACAGAAACACAGAAAGAATCACGATACATCAGAGAGCTGTTTTTCTCCCACTACATGATATATCAACACATCACCATCATCTGGGGCCTCATGAATGAAATCTTGTTTAGATTATATCCTAATAGAGTGCAAATGTACACACATAAATTTTTTTTAATTTATTACATTTATTAAATTAAAACCAATAGCAGAATCGTGTGCATACATTTATTTCTAAATAGTAATGTGTGAAATGTACTTTTCACCACCCATGTTGTGTGTGCAGCACTGATCTGTTATTATAGTCGTACGTTTGCTGATATAGTCGTAGTGTGTGTAGTAGCCTCTGTGTCTCTGAGAAGCACCACATTCTAAGCTCGTGCACCGCTAGTGTAACTTTGTTTTCGTTTTGTGCAACAGAAACACTCTTTACAATTAATAAACCATGACATTTTAAAGCGCAGTTAATAGTGAAATTGGTTAATTGTTGCACCCTATTCCAAACAAAAGGAAATATATCCGTATCTGCATCGGCTATCAGCCAAAATGAGTTGAAAAATATCAGCATATTGGATATCAGCAAAACTCCAATATCGTGCATCCCTAGCATCTACTAACCTGAGTGTGGAAGTTTGCCATACTAGTCGTCTCGATGTCCTTCTTCCCCAGGATCTCCATTTTGACGGGTGAGTTGGGGAACTTAGTAGAGAAGTACTCCAGGAAGTCTGGGAGGTAGGAGGCAGCGCCGTGAATCACACCCATCACGTAGTTAGCGGCTCCATCCTGGTCCTCGCAAAACGCCAGCGTCACAAACTCCTGCGCAAACCTCTGCATCTCCACAGGAGACAGGACAGAGAGCTCCTTGCTGTAGGCGTGAGCCACCAGAGCTCCTCCGTTCGGCTGGTGCTCCACGTGAACCAGACAGCCGAACTCCAGCCGCTCCAGCCCGGGGAGTTTAGCGGCTCTGGCCTCGCCGTCTGCTGCGTTCGCGCTCTGGCCACAGCTGTTCTCCTGCTTCAGGCTGCTGACGGAGCTCAGAGCGCCGCCCTGCTGGACTGGAGGCGGCGGCGGCTTGAATTCTGAACCAGATTTGGGGAGATCAGAACACACCGTCTGGATAGATTTGCTGTACATCTTAGGCCGCTTCCGCTTTTCACCTTCTTTGTGTTTCTTTTTCTTTTTCTTCTTGACCTTTTTCATCAGCAGATCCTCAGCGGAGTCGATCTTCGGCTTCTCTCTGTCACCTACAGCACAGGAGAAAGAAGATTAACTTACACAAAAATCCTCAGAACGAGAGTGATTTGGCATCCTAGCAAACAGCAGAGCTAATGAAGACAGGAGCAGACGTGAGTGAATCCATCGAGGTCTGTAAATCTCCAGAGAGCTTCAGTGCAGCGAGAGCTAAAGGTGAGACGTCCGTGAGACCTGAGCTTTCTTTAGTCATGACTGAAAATGACACAAATCCACTAGTTGAGCACTCAAAGACATCCACCAGCATCACAAATAACAGACACTAATAATACAAATACAGAAACGGACAATCCAACTGACTGATGGCCGACTATCAGACACCTGGCCATGAACACAGTCACGGGACACAAAATGACTTCAGAGAGGAGCAGAGACAGAAGAACACACCGTCATCAGAGCTAAACGTGTGTGAGAAACACTGAGGAGCTGCGGGAATGAGTCCGTCTGTGTCTCCAACAGTTTATTAATGCTCTCTTATCATCTTACTAGCAGAATGACTTATCTACTTGTATTTCTCTGGATTCTTTAATGACACTCATTTTATACTTCAGTTTCTTCTACCAAAAGAATGTATGGTGAGACAAACATAACATCTTTTGTCATAAAACGCCATAAAATTGAGATACAAAATCAACATGCAACTAACACACTACTTTCTTTAAGTAATGTGACATGATTAGTTAGTTTAGTCATCAGTTGTGTACAAACGATGGTGTGTGTGTTAAACACAATCTCGGGGCGACAGTGAAAAATGGCTCTGTGTTTCCATAAATGAAGAGGTACAAGTGAAAGTTTAACAGCTGAGCGTGACAAACTCTCGCGTCAGAGTTTTCATATTATGAAGTTTTCCAACAGACTGAATGTCTGAATGTTTCTGGAATCCAGCAGCAGAGTAAGCAAACGTGTGTGTGTTTGCGTGCGTGATCCAGACCGGACAGATTCAGATCGAGCACTGTTTCTGGAGGACCAGTGATGAAGAGCTGCTGCTCTCTACTATTAGCCTGATTTACACACTCCAGCCATTAGTTACATTAAAACACTCAGTTCGTTTTTCTAGTTTAGTATAAATTAGTTCTAGTTTAATCTATAACTCTAGTGATCCTGGCTGCATTTTTGAAAGAATATTTCTGATTGCTTGATTCCAACACATCACCCAAACACAGTCGATTCAATCTTACACCTGGATCTCTAATATGCTAAATCAAATATTGGAATGTTTTTTGGATTTAAAAAATCTAAACTGTTGAATGGTGAATATAAATCTTTACACATTGTGGTACACTGCCTGGCCAAAAAATAAAGTTGCCATTTGGATTTAAATGAGCAAACACAGACTATTTTAGGACTGGATCATTATTGCGGTGATTAATATGTTTCTGGCATGTTGTATGATTCGCAACAACCCAACGTACCCATGCACATATTTCAGTATGACAATGTCAAGATTCAGCAGGTTCAAATTGTGAGCATGAGGAATCATTTTCATATGAACTGGCACCACGCAGTCCTGCTTAACTCTACAGAGCGGTCTGACTCTCCCACTGCCAATACAAGATCTCAGCCACACATTAATGCAACTCTTGATGGAAATAAATGATGTGATGTTGCATAATGATGTCAAAAGCACAATGTTTCAGAGCTAAAGAGGGTCCAACAAAACATTAACGTGTGCAATCTTTTTCTGGACAGGCAGTGCATGATCAAAGTCAGTAAAGAGACTGAATGAAAGCGTCACAAGCTTGAACACATTTCCAGCTTTATTTAGAATCAGACTCTAACCAAAAATGACTTGAATCACGTGAACGAGTCAGTAATAACTCTGAACGATTCACTGACTCAGCGAGTCAGATATCAAATCGCACATTTGCAAACATTCTGGTCTTTCAGTTGCATTCTGCAGCACCACTCCAGATAATACAATTACTGTGATGAACTTCAATATTTTTAGAATACCGTTTATTAAATAAGCAATAAAGTATGACAAGTTTTGTCATATATTGTATGACGCCATCTAAAACGGTTGCATCTTGTTCAAGTACATCAGCCAGGGCTTTTTGGCCACAAAATTATATGGTGCTTATTTTGTAATAAATTGTGATTTCTGCAGTGATGACAAACATCTCGTCTCATATGGAAATATCTGATGTTAACAATCAGGCAAAAAGAACAAAAGGCACACACTGCGCAGCCAATAGAGTGTGTTTTTGAGCAGGTTCAGTTTCTCAGATGTCTTCAGTGACCAGCACTTCTCTAAAGCTCTGTTCTGCTGTGACAGCGTCTCAGTCCACATCACGTTTACGCTGTCAAGACTTTTTCATATTATATAATAAAACCTTTGGAAATGATGTGCATGTTGAAAGTGAAACCGAGTTTCCAAAAGCACGTTATGAGCGCCTGAAGCTCACATGTGGATTCAGAGCGCAGGTCAGAGGTCAAACGCAGGTGATTGACAGATCGCTCACCTTTCTGCTGGATCTTCACCTCTCCATTCTCTCTCTTCATCTCCGTCATCAGCTTATGTTTTCTTTTCTCCTTCATCTCCTTCTCTCTCTTTTTCTCGCGGTCTCTGTCTCTCTGCTTCTCTTTGTCTTTGACGGTGTGTTCTGTAGGAGAAAGAAACAGTTACACGCGTGTGAGTCCTGCTCAAACACACACTGGTGAAAGGTCATGAATTTACCAGCTCAGATCTTAGACTAGTCACATTCCTCACTAGACTGTCAAAGTGTTCTACTATATCTTCATACACTCGGATAAACTGTCATGAAAAACTAGGTTTGAACAGTCCTGCGAGAAGCATTTATAACCTGAACACATTCTGGACAGGCTTCATGATCCTCGTACAAACACACACATCACGCTCATGCAGACGTTTCTGTCACGTTCCTGTGCTCATGTTCAGAGCTGCACAGGCCAGACTCACTTCAACAAGGTACTAGAGTAAAATAATGTGTTTCATAAAGACAAACTGCATAAATTGTGAAATGAATGAAAACATGATTATAAACCACTAAAACACTGTTGTGGAAGCATGTAAACAGACAGAGACAATAAAAAAGGTCATTCTGTCATCGTTTACTCTCCCTCGTGTCGCTCCAGACCTGCATGACTTTCTTTCTTCTGCAGAACACAGAAGATGTTTTGAAGAACGTTTCAACTACTTTTGTCAATACAGTGAAAGTAAAATGAGTTTAAAACACCACTGCACCGATCTGACTTTCATTATGTGGACATTTCTCAAAATATCTGCTTTAGTGATCCAGAAAGAAAGTCATGCAGGTTAGGAAGGATGTGAAAGTGTGTAAATAACGGATTGATCGTGTTTGGGTTCCTGCAAATGATCTTTTGAACGTCTTTTGAGCCCCTGAAGGAATACAGCTCCTTCTGAGAAGCTTCACGATCCATTCACTGCTCTTGTCAGGAGTGTAACTGATCTGTAATGACTTAATGTGAGTTAGTGTGAGTTAGGGTGAGTTAGTGTGAGTTAGTGCGAGTAGCTGGTTAGCATCTGAAGCTGACAGAAATGACTGAATGTGGCTTTTGTGCTCATGTTGTTATGACAGATTGGTTACTACTTTATTAGTGCTCATTATCATGTTATGTGTGAGTAACGCAAATGTGTGTAACAGGCCTGAAACAAATAACACACAACTGTTCAGCACTCGCAGTTTACAGTGAAGCTTACAGTGTGACAGAAAACAGCAGATTTATTACAGAGTAACAGAACATCGCTGTCACACACACAGATCAAAGCCTTCACTGGAGCTTCAGCTGGATGACAATGTTATTACAGATATTTCAGCAGTTGTTATAATCGCGATGATCGTTAATGTTGATCTTCTGGTGTCTGAATAGACATTTCAGGAATGACAGCAGATATTTCGAATGCTGTTTTTATTAACACGGGCTATTATTCTGCCGTCCTGCAGGTTAAATTGAAACTTGAATATAAAGAGACGCATTTATTGGCATTATGATGATGTGTGTCTGCTGTAGCAGCAGATGTTAATGAGCGCGTCACATTGCAGCTGCACGCGCCGATGCTAAGCTAACTAGCGCGCTGTCGAGGTTTCCACTCAAATAAACGCGCACACACTCGTTCACGAGACACAATAAACCCTTAATAACACACACACACACACACACACACACACACACACTCACTCACTCACTCACTCGCACCCGCACCGATCACAGCTAGCGAAGCAGCGGCCCGTTATCAGCCGCAAACAGCGCCCGAGCAGCAGCAGCGAAGCGACTAGCGATACCTTTCTGCAACAGCTTCAGCTCTCCGTTCTCCTTCTTCACACTGAGGTGATTTTCAGCCGCCAGTTTGTGTTTCTTCCTCTCTTTCTCTCTGTCTTTGCCTTTCTCTTTCTCTCGCTCTCTGTCTTTCTCTGTTTTGGTTTTCTTGTTTTTCGGTTTGCTGCTGTAATTCTGCTGCTCCGTGCCTCCGTTCATCTTCTTGGCTTTAAATATTTTCTCTTCATGTCGGATTTTTTTGGCCGGTGGAGGATGATGATGGTGCTCCCGGTTCTGGGACGCTGGTTTCGGTTCGGTGGGTTTGTTGAGCTGAATGAACTCCGCCATCTTTTCTCTATTTACTCTCTCGAGCTGCTGCTGTTTGTGTAAGACGCACGGGAGGGGCGTGGCCTGGCGGTGATTGACAGCAGGAGCGGTGACGTCAGCAGTTTAGTCTCTGTACTCACTTGATTATGATTCATGAACCCATTTACTCTCTAATCTCGATATTTTTCCAAATTTTGATGATACTCGATACATCGTTATTTTTCCATCTGCTCTCCACAAATGTAAAAATATAATTTTTTTGGTCTCTCATGAAAAAGAAATTAACACCAAATTGTTTACAGCAAAATAACACTAGTTAAAAATTTAATAATCTAGACATGGTGACCACTTGCTACTTTTTACTACATGAACACAAAAGGAATAGTGATATATATATATATATATATAACGTAATGAAATGTATTGTGGTTGTTGCAACGACTTCACGTGTTTCTTTGAAGAAAAGAGAAAAACATGAACAAAGAAACACATTTGCAGAATAAGTGCCAATATTTGTTTGCATTTACACCCCAAGCGCAGATCTGTTCTCATATACAGTATCAGATGTTTAGATCATCACTTCTTCAGATTCAATCTTGCATTTAAATCTGCCGGTTGTCAAACTAGAAAGTAGCAATAAAATTAATAATTTATTCAAATGGTGAATGGGTTACAAAGAGAAAGCGACATGTTAAAGACCGTATGTTTATAGAGGATATCAATGTTTACATTCTTAAACACAGTTGTACTAATAAACATAAGTAATATTGTCAGGTGAAACAGCTGCTCATAAAAGCTGGTTGTGGAAATCAGTATTTCTGAATATGGACTAAATAACTGCACTAAAGCTTGGAGTAAAATACTATTTAAATAATGACATAAAAACAGCTTACATTTAAGATCTTAGATGATATATATCCAGCAAAAGGTGTATTAGAGAGATTGATTAGATATTCCTGTGATTTTTCTTCAACAAAACAAAACAAGAATCCATCATTATTGTTCATCATTTGGTATCGATGTACTATTCCAATGAAAATAATCAATTAAATTAAATTATGACATTTTATTAATTTAGGAAAATTTCACAAAAAGAAATGGTGAGGGTCTAAGCCTAATTTAATTCATTTTGTCCAGGAAACAAAGAATACAGCGTCTGTTTGGAGAACACTGTCAATACTGTATAAATCTGTGTATTCTCTTACTCAACGCTTAAAAATGATAAACAGCATATCAACAGCTTTATGAATATAACACTATACAAATTATGCAAAATAAATCAGAGAATAGATTTGCAGTAATTTTTCACATATTAAATTAGTGACCGGTTACTATTTGAAAAATATTTTTTTATTCCCATTTAAATTTATGGATAAAGAAATTTGCCTGATTAATACATTTATAATATCCTGTATTTTAAATGGAATATTTTAAACCTAACCTCTATCGCAGGAAAATAAATTATCTTTGAATACAATGTCCATATTCCTCTTAACGAAAACTTCAGTTTGTTATAAATTACAAAATCAGTGGATGATGCTCCGCTCCCATCGCTGTTCAACAGCTGCGCAAACTCAAAGCATGATGGGAAACGACTTGCTGACGACAGAGCTTAAAGCTCATTGGCTCAAAACAATCACAACATTTTGTTCTAGTGTAAAATGTGAAATTGTATATATATTGAATTGATTGTTAATTTAGTTCATGTGAATCAGCAGTTATTATGCAGCCACTGTATCAGGAACAGAGCACATGATGGAGCTGTTGGCTTGTGCTTACGAGAGATTTCTTCACTCCCGTCCAGGCGTCTCAAACCAGCCTCTTCTCCTGACTTGAAGGAGATTCCACTGACGTCTGACTGGCATCCCGAGAGGTCATGTGACCCGGATGGAGGAGCGTTCATTAATGCACTGCGACAGAGAGACCACACACTCATCCTTCATCAGCTCTTCTGTCAGAACTTCTCAGATAACATCCATTCAGTGAGAAACAGGAATGAATAAATCAGAGTAAGACGTGATCACAGGAACACAACAGCTTTACCAGCAGATGAAATTATTGATGAATGGATCAATGAGTATGAATACATGCGAACAGAGCTGAGTGCTAACCCTAACCTAACCCTAGCACTCGTGTGTCACGCTGAGCTCGTTCTGCCGTCTATCACAGGACTGCCATATTCTAGCATCTGAATGATTAGCACATCAAACAATAGTGGAAAATGACAAACTGCTGCAGCAAATGCAACAGACACAGAAACTCAAACGCTGCTGTTCACAAACACGTGTTACAGCTGTGTGAATGCAGATGTTCAGCAGCAGATGGCGAGAGCGAGCGCCTGTCTGAACCAATATGAACAATATCAGCTGTAGAAACTTCAACATGTGACACACACACACACACTCTCACACTCACAATCACACACACACTTACAATCTCTCACACACACACACACACACTCTCAATCACACACACAATCTCTCACACACAATCACACATACTTACAATCACTCTCACACACACTCAATCACTCTCACACACACACACACACACACACTTACAATCACTCTCCCACACACACACACACTCACAATCACTCTCCCACACACACACACACACATTCACAATCTCTCACACACACAATAACTCTCTCACACACACACACACACACTCACAATCTCTCTCTCTCTCTCACACACACACACAGCATGTACTGAGAATAAAGCAGCAGGAGACATCTTCCTCCTAATGTTTTACTGACATGTTGATTGATTGATTGATTGACAGGTCTGTGTTGGAAGGTCGAGTAAAATCCCAGAGGTTTAAATGCGACTTTGTGCAGCTCGCACACATTCTCTCTCTGCGTCTCAAACACACAGTAAAATGGAAAACAAAAAAAAGCCACGGGCGAGCTGTCAGGGTGTTGTTCGTGAGGTGAGAAAATGACATACAAAAATAACCTCTAGAATACAATTTACAAAAAGCATCATCACAATTTCCAGCGTCTCGTGAAGCGGCCGGTACGCGCCGGCCTGACCAACGCAAAGAAACGGCGAGAAAAGAAAACACAACACTGAAAAGGTTTGTTCTAACAGGAGGGCAAATAACTTACAGTTTGAGGTACACGTGACGCTTTCATGCACAGACGTCTTACATCGCATTAATATATTCAGTGATAGTACGTTTGCATCATTATTCACGGCTCGCCCTGAACACGCATGAGACACCGTTAATGAGGCAGCAGCTCCTCGGCCCTCGTCCGTCTGATCCGAGGATAAACTACTGCAGAAGATGCGCGAGTAACAAACAGGTCCAGGAGGAGTAAGGCAGGTCCTGGTCCCGGCGAGACGTTTAGCACCAGCACAGCGAGCAGCACTACAGCAGCGGCTGCACAGGTGCATCATGGGAGATTATCTTTGTAGCTTTACTGATTGTGTTAGTCAGAGAAGAGGGCGCAGAGTCTTGGACCGTCCGTCTACAGAGAAGAGAGAGGAGCGTGGAGTGTGCAGCGGATGGGTGCCGCGGTCACGTCCACTCCGACGGAGGCTCCCGGGGGCCTTTGGGATGCAAGCAGCGGCTGCTGAATCCTGCAGCACAGAGAGAAACTCACAGATCATAAAGGAAAAGCTTTCATCTGCTCCTCTGCTCTCGTCACTCACCCATCTCCGTCTCGGCTCTCCTGTCCTTCGGGACGCTCAGAGGCGAATCCGGACCCTTTCCGTTCTTCTGCTCAGCATCTAGAAAACAAAACAAAACCGGCAACACAGTTAAACAAATGCACGCCTTTGTCATCAGGCTTTTATTTCATCACTTTATGGGAGAAATCACATCAGCGTCAGCCGGCTGATCTTTGAGTCGGAGATATAGAAACCAGAAACAAAAGCACATTAACATTCAAATAAAGCTGAGGGTTTAACCACAATGCATTGCAATGCTGCAAGTGAATTAAGATATTATTTTTGTGTAATAATAATAATAATAATAATATATTCATTCTAATAATAAAAATCATATCTTTGTGTAAACAGTAAAGAATTAACTGAACAGCCGGCGCCGTCCGTGAACGTGAGACTTCGGGTGCTTTCACACCTGTAGATCGATTGCTTTGCTCCGAAACAGGGATTAAAATTATTACAATGTTGCTTTTTATTCTTGCTGCGGTTCGCTTTCACACGGCAAAGTTTCTAAATGGACCAAATTTGTTAATACAAGTCACGCGCGAGTAAACTGTTCTCTCATTGGTCAAAGTTCCACGGTTTATTTTCCGGGATTCCACTGAGCTGTCACGGCTGTCAGCCGTCAGGAGGCAACGACAACAGCTTGAGCTGAGACCACCTCGTTCAGGCGATCTCGGACCGATTGTTTTGGCGCGGATCCAAGCGCGATTGACGTGTTCACATATGCTCAAACGAACCGAGCTAAGGGGGGGAACGCGCCAGGTTCCGAAACAACGAGCCAGGTGTGAAAGCACCCTTACATGAGTCACAATAAAGCCGAACTGACATTAACTGTGATATAAAAAAAAATGAAGTGCTGTTATGTTAATGCTACACACACATGATGATATTGTAAATAACGCACCTAACGCGGGTTTCTAGAGCTGCACAAACTCATGTCAGATGAGATGACGGGGGAAAGTTTTATGGATTCAGTGAAAATAAAAGTCTGCAGGAAGTGCTGATCAACAGGAAGTGTCTTTGGCTACATACTGTCTCTCTCGCCTCTGTACACTCATATTCTGAGTGAGATTCATTGGCCAAAAATGAGAAAACATTAATAAACCCTTTAAGTGTGACGTACCGGTCTTTGGAGGACTAGCAGGAGCTTGTGTGTCTGCAGACGCCTGTGAAGAGAAGAGACAGACGTGAAATCACTCGTTCTCAGTCAGTTACAGCAGAAACAGACTCGTCTCACCTGTGACGACGCTTCGGCCGGCGGCGGCTTCACATCTGCGGGCTCTGAATGAACACGAGGGAAACGTTACAGGAAGTTCAGACAGACATGAGAACGAGAAGCTTAGACGCTATTACCTCACTAATAAAACAGAGTTTAATGACTGAACCCTTAATAAACCATTAGTGATCAACTCACTTCAAAATCAA